ACCGAGACAGGTTCCTCAAACAAATCCCCAGACAAGTCATCCAGTTCAGCAGGAGCCTGAACAGGTGGAGTGGACCCCATGCGGGTAGCCAGCTTGGCCTTGTCCAAAATGGTTTTGAAATTGGCAATCTTAAATAGCCCCAAAGAAGTGGGCTTTTGAGCCGCCACACCTTCTTCCCCCGAGAATTCAGCCTCCTGAACAGGAAGAATATCTTCCCCCTCCTCCCAGTCTGAAGCCTTGGAACCCGAAGAGGAATGGGGGGGACTGCAAGATACATGGAGGAGATGCGACCCTGGTAACTGGCTGAGGCTCCAGATGCTTAGTCTTGCGGTGCATTTGCCTTTATGCAGCATGGCCACCTCTATACCCTGGGAAATGGCCCTGTTAATAACCTCCTGCATCTCAACTGAAAGGTCAGGCCCAAGATCCTCCCTGGGGGCGAGCCCTGGGAGGTGGGTGTTGAAGAGCCAAGGGACCCGGGGCAGGGCCTTCCTCTAGATCCGAAGGGCAAGCGAACAGATCAGCCTGATCTACCATAGAGGGCCCTGGAGATACTACCCTAGACATGGAGCCTGTGGGTGAAAACTCCCGGCCCTCATCCTCACTGTCTAAAACAGGCCTAGGCTGGGCCGGAGGCACCTCCATGGTGGGCTCCTCAGGAGACACCAAATGAAAGGATTGTGCTTGGTGCTGGACCTTGGAGAACTGTTTCTCAAGGGCCTTTTGGCAACACAATGTGTCCTTGTCTGCCCCTGATCCCTGCTTAGGCCCGGGCCTGGAGTAAGGCTTGGAGACCCTGATGGCCTCCCTGGCACCAATGCTGGCCAGCCTGGAGAAAGCCCTGGAAGAACCCCATGCCTTGGTGGAATCCCTGTGAAATTAAGGCCCAATTGATAACCAGGAGCTACCTCCACTCACCACCTTGCAAAGGCCCTGCAGATCAAACAGACACTCTGAAGAGACGTGGGGGGATCGCAGCACCAATATGCAGCCAGGTGGAATAAAACACGATGTTAATAGCTCCCAGTGCTTGCAGGAAACGAGGCTTGTGACCAGTGGCCCCAATCTTAGCTGCTTAGGTGGTAAAGACACAAACCAAATTTGCCAGCCAGGCCGGAAAAGGAATGGCTCCATGCGGCTTCTGCCGTGAGTCAGGCTGCAGGCAGCTGCATCACGCGGTTGAATAGGCAAACAGCAAATAGCTCCAAAATGGCGACGGGAATAAACTAACCAAATTAAAAGTTGCCGCCAAGCAAACCGGAGCTCTGAGGCACCGCACCTGCACACCGGCCACCAAAGGCATGCATGCCAACCACAGGAGCCTCAGCAGGGACTCCCCCCCCAGCGGGGGTCATAACAGCACTGGCTTTGCACTCCGACCCCCATGCTTCCCCCAGCAGCTGCCTGCGTTCCGAGCGGTGCCTGGGAGATAAGCAGGACACCTGGGNAGGTGGCAGCTTAAGCAAATCCTCCAGACTGGCATCTACAGTGTACAGCTTCTTATCATTGCTAGAGGGAGTAGCCAAGGTAGCTGGCTGGGCCCACTGTTTCTGAACCAAATTTAAGAAACATTTTGGGAATAGGGATAACTTCCTGGACCGAGACAGGTTCTTCAAACAAATCCCCAGACAAGTCATCCAGTTCAGCAGGAGCCTGAACAGGTGGAGTGGACCCCATGTGGGTAGCCAGCTTGGCCTTGTCCAAAATGGTTTTGAAATTGGCAATGTTAAATAGCCCCGAAGAAGTGGGCTTTTGAGCCGCTGCACCTTCTTCCCCCGAGAATTCAGCCTCCTGAACAGGAAGAATATCTTCCCCCTCCTCCCAGTCCGAAGCCTTGGAACCCAAAGAGGAATGGGGGGACTGCAAGATACATGGAGGAGATGCGACCCTGGTAACTGGCTGAGGCTCCAGATGCTTAGCCTTGCGGGTGCGTTTGCCTTTATGCAGCATGTCCGCCTCTATGCCCTGGGAAATGGCCCTGTTAATAACCTCCTGCATCTCAACTGAAAGGTCAGGCCCAAGATCCTCCCTGGGGGCGAGCCCTGGGCTTGGTCCTGGGAGGTGGGTGTTGAGGAGCCAAGGGACTTGGGGCAGGGCCTTCCTCTAGATCCGAAGGGCAAGCGAACAGATCAGCCTGATCTACCATAGAGGGCCCTGGAGATACTGCCCTAGACATGGAGCCTGTGGGTGAAAACTCTGGGCCCTCATCCTCACTGTCTGAAACAGGCCTAGGCTGGGCTGGAGGCACCTCCATGGTGGGCTCCTCAGGAGACACCGAATGAGAGGATTGTGCTTGGTGCTGGACCTTGGAGAACTGTTTCTCAAGGGCCTTTTGGCAACGCAATGCATCCTTGTCTGCCCCGATCCCTGCTTAGGCTCGGGCCTGGAGTAAGGCTTGGAGCCCCTGATGGCCTCCCTGGCAGCCATGCTGGCCTGCCTGGAGAAAGCCCTGGAAGAACCCCTGGGTGGAATCCCCCGGAACCTGCTCAGCCATAAGGGAAATTAAGGCCTAATTGATAACCAGGAGCTACCTCCACTCACCACCTTGCAAAGGCCCTGCAGACCAAACAGACACTCTGAAGAGACGTGGGGGGATCGCAGCACCAATATGCAGCCAGGTGGAATAAAACGCAATGTTAATAGCTCCCAGCACTTGCAGGAACGAGGCTTGTGACCAGCGGCCCCAATCTTAGCTGCTTAGGTGGTAAAGACACAAACCAAATTTGCCAGCCAGGCCGGACAAGGAATGGCTCCATGCGGCTTCTGATGTGAGTCAGGCTGCAGGCAGCTGCGGCACACGGTTGAATAGGAAACCGAAACAGCAAATAGCTCCAAAATGGTGACGGGAATAAACTAACCAATTTAAAAGTTGCCGCCAAGCAAACCGGAGCTCTGAGGCACCGCACTTGCACACCGGCCACCAAAGGCACGCACGCCAACCACAGGAGCCTCAGCAGGGACTCCCCCCCCCCCAGTGGGGGTCATAACAGCACTGGCATCGGCACTCCGACCCACGCACTTTCCCTAGCAGCTGCCTGCGTTCTGAGCGGTGCCTGGGAGATAAGCAGGACACCTGGGAAACGAGGAGTGAGCTCAGATCATAAATGAATTAAATAAACCTCAAACACGCTCACTCAGCNGTGGCAGCTTAAGCAAATCCTCCAGACTGGCATCTACAGTGTACAGCTTCTTATCATTGCTAGAGGGAGTAGCCAAGGTAGCTGGCTGGGCCCGCTGTTTCTGAACCAAATTAAGAAACATTTTGGG